CAGTTCGCGCATTCAAAATTGTATCAAGGCTAATCCTCCTTATTTTTTAAAAATCGTTAAATTTCAAAGTTGCCTTCGTTTTCTACAATATTATAAAAATATTGTGCAAGATTGCTCAAATCAACATCCATTGACATGCAAGTTTCATAAATGAATCACGTTGGAATTAAAATTTTAGTTTTTTCAACCGTTGTTTCATTAGCACACTTCAGTGTTCCAATTATATTCAGTATTTAATAAAAATTCTGTTAAAATTGCTCTAAGGAAATAAATAAGACTTCTTTTTAGCTAGTAAGCGCTATCAACTACTAACGACAATATCCGGATAACCCAATACTAAATGGCGAACTATAAAGGCCATTTTCACCATCTCTGGTTAAGCACTGAATCATAATCGCATCTATATATTGAGCTGCGGTTAACTTAACGCCAATATTGAGTGGCGATTAGCTCTTAACCAGAAGATAATTTGACAGCTGGAAATTGTAAATAATAAATAAAATAGGGTAACATGGAAAGCACTGCCTATCTGGCTGCGTTGATGCTGAGGCGTTGTTATTTTTTCTTTTACAAAGATGATGAAAAAGTTTTTTTTCGTAGATTTGAACCTCAAATTCAGCATAAATGATTTGCCAGTCAGCTTTTTTATTTTCGGTTACATTGCAGTAGCGCTCCACCACATACTTTCTTCCGCGCTTGAAAAATTTGGAAGAACATTTATTTTTTTATTTTCCATTATATTACAATAATTTAAAAAATACAAAGGATAAATTTAAAAATTGTAGGCAAAAATTTAAAATATATGAGCTGTCACGCAGTTTTCATCTATTCACAAGGAAAATTTTTGCGAAGTTACCATAAAATATTCACAATGATCAAACTTAACAGAAGTTAGGTAGCCGGAACTTGGTGAAAACGAAGGGGTCAGATCAGCATATCTGGCGGTTAGCTATCCTCCTGTTAAAGGCTAAGTTCATCGGACATTGTAAAAACAGCCCTAAGCTTTTGATTGCATACGCCTTGAGCTTTCATATTTTTTTGGAAAAATAAGCCTCGAGAACTTAAAATTTTTTACGGCTGCTTTGATTTCCGTTCCGTCCATATAATCTACATAGTGACATAGTTCTACTTTGTATCGGCCACTCAAATTTAACGCTCTTCAACATTTTTCCAGTACAAAAATTTTTCTTTCAATAGTAGAAGTGACTTAAGTATTTTGTTTGTTATACTATATAAATATTAAGAGAAATCAGAAAAATGCATGAAATCTTTATTTGAATCGATAGTACGGTCCATATATTCATGCTTATCTGTACAGACATTAAATTTAAAAAAATAAAAATAGTCTAAAGGCGTTAAATCGCCCAATCTACAATAGGTGGCCAAATTTACCGGTCCCGAACGTGAAATAAAATGTTCAAAGAGCTTGCCTCGCAATAAGTCTATTGTTATGCGTGCTGGGTAGCAAATGGAACCTCTTGTTGAAACCACAAGTGATGCAAGGTTGATGTCATCTCACGGTAGCGCCCACCATTCACAGTTACGTTACGATTCGCATCATCTTTAAAGGAGTTCGTTCCAATGATGCCACCAGCCCATGACTTTTTCTGAATGCATTGGTAGCACTTGCAATGCTTATGGCTGATGTTCACTCCAAAACGGACAATTCCACTTACTTACGTACCCATTAAGCCAAAAATGAGCTTCGTTGCTGAGCGGAAGAAACGCACGATGAACTTTCTTAAAAGAGCACCCATTTTGATTAAAAAATTCAATAATTTAACAATTTTAAAATTCAATAAATTGCAAGCGTTGTTCCTTTTTAAGAATATTCATGGTTATATTTTTGACCAAACTGAAGATGTTTGAGAGTGATACAAAACGCGAAACGTGCTTCAGCTGTTTAAACCAGTATTGGCAAAAAATAAATAGCTAAAAAATCTGTATAACCTTTCGTTCATTGCATCATAACTGCTATAAACCTATATTGCAACATCACCAACATTAAATGACCTGGCATTTTTGGAAATAACTGATCTCCAATCGATCGCCGTCGGCACCACACAATTGCAAGTTGCATTTGAATATGGATACTGCTTGTCAGCCAGATTCTAATGCGTACCATACTCACGCATGTTGGCCTCTTCTATGTTGGCTTCCTCTTCAGCTCTTGGTAATTCTTCCATCTCGCGCGTGTAATGGTCGATCGTATTGGTGGCGTATGCCACCTGCTTTCCCTCCATTTCCACACGGAAGTTCTCATAACACCATTTCGTTTGAAGCTGTATGTAGGGAATTTGGAACAGTTCCTTTATTTACTGCTCGCAGAGAGCAGTTCAAGTGAAGTCAGGTAGAAAACCGTTTGGCAGTGGTTTGTGATCCCAGCTTTTCGACGTGGAACCTTCCTTGTGTTGTCGGCAAATCTTCGCTGCAACAAGATATTAGTCGGAGTCGATGTTAAGTCCTCGGAGTGTACGCACTTCAAAAACACTGGATACAAATCGTCCATCTACCACAGAATGATGGATCAAATAGCTTGATGTATTTTCTTGTGCTGGAATCTAGTACTGCAAGCAACCAGATTTTTCACCTTGGAGAAGCCGATTAGCCTCAACCAATTTGAAGATGTTATATTGTGAAGGTTGAATTTCCGGATAGTAGTACTAAATAAAAACTTCTTTATCCACCTTGGCATTGAAGTCGACAAGCACTACTTTCATATCGTTGCGGAGGCAATACTCATGAACAAACTCCAAGCACTCATAAAAGTCATCTTTGCGGATTGTGGAAAGACGTTTATCTCCGGAGTGAATTCCAATACTCGGCAACGGAGTCTCTCTCACATAACGAATCCGACACCAAATTTACACTCCTTTATATAGCCGCTGTAATAAATGTCAGAAAAAAAATTTTAGATAGAACTTATCGAAAATGCTTGATATCGTAGATTTAAGGGCCATCATCAACACTAATAATTACGATTGAAATCCAACGCAGAATCACAAGGGCACCCAGTGCTACTTTGGACTCAATAGATATTTGAAAAGTAAAGTCCTCTCCATTTTCCAGAAGCGTATTTTAAGAAATTCAATAACCATTTAATCATTTTACAAATGCGTCTGTTAAGTAAGTCATAAAGTTTTCATTCAATAATATCATATCAATCTCGGAGAGTTTCTGTAGCCACTCTGAATACTCTTATTTTATTTTTATTTTCTTGTCTTTTTAAATTCTAACTTCACTTGCAATCGCAGCCACTAGCCCTTTTGTGTTAACCAAGTATTTACAAAATCGCAGTTTTAAGAAAACCGACGAAATCTTAATTTTTTAAATAAACTATAATTCATTGGTAAATCGTATTCTCTTTTTATCACACTAAAAGACTTGAACATGACTTTTTGGAGCTATATCGATACTTTATTGTATAATACAATAATACAGTTATATTTAGGAGAGAGCTTCTCGTCAAATATTCTGAATCATTTGATCGCATATTATAAAACATATTATATTCAATATTTTTATATGTATAATACATTACCAAAAAGAATTTAGAAATGAGCTAAAAACAGAAAGGGGACGAAAAGTGCTATTCTTCATCATGATATCAAAAGAATTTGCTTGATCGCCACTTTATAGTACGGGCAAAGATCGAACGCAACTCATTCTATAATACGAGTATTGGCCTATATGTCATGCGGGCTTGGAGTACTCTTATTTTTCATAGGGTTTGGATGTATATGTAACTTTGGGATTAGACAATTACATCGAGATAAGGAAAACATCTTTGCAATCGGTTGACTTAAGGTTTCTTTTAAAGCTGCACCTAAAAAGAGACCTATTGTGTGACTAAATTCGAACAAACACACATACATATATTTTGGGTTCATAAGTTTGTGTAAGCATCATACACATGAAATTATTTTCACCCGCAAAATCATGATCACGCTTTATCAATTTATATGTTCCCATTGTAGACACATACATATATACTTGAGTTAGCTTGTATATGCCAATGCATACTTAAGCTCTAACCCTATAGAGAAAAATATTAGTTCTTAACTACAAGTTTAAGTGTTTGCACTAATTAGTTTATATAGAACATCGTCTTCCAATGTTAGATATTTGCCATAGGCGAATGATGAGCGCCATAACTGATAGCACGCTTGAGATTCAGCGTTCAAGGTCTTTTGTGAAATAGAAGCACATATACATATAATAGTTCATAGGGCATCGCCCTATTAAATATACCTGTTGCAAACATGGGAAAATGATGGAAGCAGAACTAGTTAGTGTAAAAATGCAAATTAGTAGGGTTTTTTTTTAACAACTGTTATTTTTATCCGTAGGGTTTATGTGAGCTTACTTACATATGTACAAAAATATTTAAACGTCCACGTGTGTGGATGAGAAAACGAAACATGGAACACAGCCATATCGTCTTGGGAGGCACCTACTAGACAAAGCACAGTCCTCTGATTTGACCACAGCTAAAGAATTAAAAACTAATTCACACATCTATGTATCAAGAAATTCGAGCACATCAATATGTGCCAGTGTATTTAATACAAGCATATATGTGTACACTTAAATGAAAAATATGAATGTTTGAATTAATCTTAGTGATGTCAGACTGAGATGCATAAATACAAGGACTGTTCAAAAGAAAATGTGAATTTTTAACTGTGTATATTCGAGTATGGATTTTTTTATGTTGATGCACATATGTTAATCATATGATAATATTTGTAATGATTTTGTATGCTCTTCAATTTTTCACATTCGGTTTACATTAATGAGTGTGAAAGTTCAAACGACACCTTTTCTTTTGAACATACCTCGTATTTACGAGCTCATAAGACAAACAGCGACAATACTGGACTCTAATTTTTTAACTTCAAAGCACATTCATCACACATATCGATTAATGTTGTTGTATTTTTAAAAAGATGTTTTTGGTGAGATAGTAAGTCTATATAAGAGATACAAAGTGACAAAGTTATGACTTACTTTTAAGTTGTCGTAACATTCGGTGTTGAGGCCGGGCATTTAATATTGAAATTTATGCTCAACAGAAGTCTAGAAAAATTTGAATGATAATTTAAAACGATTAACAGTGATTTAATTAGTGACATCTTGGTTTTTTAATAAATTTGAGTTTAATCTCGGATTTAATGAGTGTAACCGCACTCTAATTTTAACAACTCTTCCTGCAATACCTACGGTAATATTAAAATATTTCTTGCGAAGTGCAGATTTTTAGTGAATAACAACGTGATAAAGAATATTTTTTCATCAATCATTATTTATTAAATACGGGCAGCAAAATAAAAGTAAAATTTTATTCTTAATTTAGGGCCCAAACGATGAATACAATCAATTTCGGCCAGTTTAAGGCCTTCCTGATCTTGTTTTGTATTTCGGCTATCAGTATCAGTGTTGTAACAACAGGTAAATAATATTTTCACTTACAATATAATTATTAACTACAATACTTTAAACTATAATATTAATATCGGTGTCTGTGCATATTTACAATATATATAGAGTTCAAGTTCATATAGAAAGAGGAGAACGTAAATAACTTTTTGCAAATACTGAGCGATTTCTCTTGCTTATGCATTTTCCGTTGTTGCCCTTGCACAAATCCATAAAAATATTATTTTTGACATTTGTATGTATTTACTAGATCTGCGTCGATATCGGAAACTCAGTATTGCCCATTACAAGGCTCGTAAATCCTTTCCCTTCGGGAGCATTTGAATTGTTGCGAACACTAAGGTGTTAGCCAAAGGGTTGACCATAGATAGAAGGACTTGGTTACTAGGGCTGAGCCCAGACGTCTGTTTTTAACGCCAACCTGAACTGGTAAATTTGAACTAAGGCTGCAGTTTTTTAGCGAAAATGTTGACAGAACACTACTCTGTTGAAAAGTAACTACTCCTCTGTTACACCCAAGGTTGTTAAATCAACTGGATTACGGGTTGGTACAAAAAATTTCACAGCTAAATCCCCACGTTTTTTCTGTTAATTTAAAAGATGGTGTTCTATTGAACAAATTAACATATCGATTGTCAAAAGAACTTATATCTAGTTGTTCTTTCAACTGAATTTATATTATTTATTAATAGTCGTGACTAATTTTTAGCCATATATATGTAGCTGTATACTGGCGACTGCGGAAGCCGAATAGTTAGCATTGCGTTCTGACATTCGGTAGGCTCCAACATCCAAAAGTTACAGTCTAATTAAAAGGCTAGAGGGTTGAGAATTGGCATACTACTTTTTGAATATTATTGTACAATTTTTTTTTTCAATACTTAAACCACACCGTCAACCCCTTCGTCCACACCCAAGGAGAAAAATTAATTTTCTCATACTATAATTTTTAAATTTTTTTACAAATAGATTTAATCTTCTTCATCTAGCAACTCAATATCTAAATAATGATTAGAATCTTCAGCATAGTCCGAATCTTCTTTTTCCATTGCTGACGTGATTGTTTTATAGTTTGGCAGAAGTGGGCATTTTAAAAGATCTGCAGGCAGAGAGTTTTTCTTAATTTTTTTTTTTGCTTTTCACTTAAACAACTTCTTGATATTAATGGATCAGCAGAATCCATAGCTCTACACAAAAAACCATCGGCCATCTTGTTTAAGCGCATTCTTAAGCATTTTCTCCTAAACATCCATCCAGGTCCCAAGGTTTTATGTTCCGTCGGTGACATAGGACACCATGGATAAGTATCAACATTAATAAAAATGTTTCCTTAGAAAATGCCTTGAATTTATCAACATCAATAGAACGCTCTAGTGAAATAGTGAAAACCTACATTTAATTGGTATTTTGGAGAAGTATTTTTTGTTGTTTTGTTTAAATAAAAAAACGCATATTTACAAAATATTTTGTTGAATATTTGTTAAAGTAATGTTAAAATGTCTTTTATTAAAGGGCTAATTGTTTGCAATTGAATTCAGCTATTTTTAACCCAAATTGGATTTTTTATAATGTGATCCGTGTGCGCTTACCTGCTCTTTAGCAGGTGCTGTTGACAGCTCCGCAGCGTGAGATGCCCTCCGGACAAAACCAGTGACTTCCCCCAAATTTTTTTTCAAGACTAGTACTTAGTAAATTATGCTCTATCCGCTACCTGCTTAGACACGTTCAATTATACACATATTCTATTTATAAAGATAATTCTTCGGTCTCGTGGTAAATTCTGATTCAGCGCCTATTTCTGTAGCTGATCCATGGTGTTCAGGAAGTTCAACCGAATCATTACTATACACCTGTCGTCGCCTTCGTCGTCACTGAGTACTTCGTCACCATTGACTAACAGTCAATTTATTGAGTCAGATGAATTAAAAAAAAGCTTATTGAGCTATCACATAGTGATTAAAGCCTTGAATATTTTTAAAGTGAAAAACGAAAAAAGTTAATAAGTTAGCTTTTCGAGTTAAATATACAACTTTCAACCCTTTAGTGAGCTTATTATTCTTCTTTTTTCTGGCGCAGACACCGCTGACGCGGTTATAGCCGAATTAATAACATTGCGCCATTCACTTGGAGATACCAAATACCAAATGCCTTCTCTTCCTCTGCTTCCACCGTCGATTACTACATCAAAAACTTTCAAAATTGGTGTATTCTTATCCATCCGGACCACATAATATTTACGTTCTTGATTCGTTGAGCAATCTCCAATAGCTGCGTTATTCGCCAATCCCAACTCGCAGAGAACCTTAAGTCTTACACAACAACTTTCTTACGATAACCCCTAATACCGACTCATTGAATTTTGTCATCCTCCATGCTTCCGCACCATATAGCAGGATGGGAACCATTAGCGACTTGAAAAGTTTAGTCTTCATACGTCGAGAGAGGACTTACGTTTCAACTGCCTACTCAGTGCAATGTAGCACCTATTGGCCAGAATAGTTCTGTGTTGGATTTCCAGGTTGACATTGTTGTTGAAGTTAAAACTGGCTCCAAGATACACGAAGCTAGCTACGATTTCAAAGTTATGACTGTCAACAGTGGCGTGAGAGCTGAGTCGAGAATGCGATGACTGTTTGTTTGATGACAGCAGATATTTTGTATTGCCCTCGTTCACAACCGGACCCATATCCTTAGCATCCTCATCCAGATTGGGGGAAGCAGAACTGACGCCGCGGTTGCCGAGGCCAATAATGATTGATACCAAAAGCTGGAACAGTAACAGCTAATTTTTGGTTTTTGATTTTTGCCGATTCTCTTTTCACAGATTCCAAAATTTGGCGTACGGTGAGAATCTGGCAAATGGTTAAATTACCAGGTCTAAATGATAAGGTAAAATCTGTTTTTTTTAACGGAGGTCTTTAATCTTTCACACAATATTAGTTAGGGAGTTTACGAAAATATATCCCACGGTAATTGGCGCAGACTGTGGGGTTACCTTTTCTATGGATTGGACAGAGCATACCGAAATTCCAATCGTTAACATTGAGTTGAGTTGATCGCTACCAGCACACTTAGGCCAGTACGCCTTCTACTTTTCAAATGATCGAACCATTTCGTGTGACTTATAAGGGCAACGAAATTTCCAATATTCGCTTAAGTTTTCTCAGCGAGATAGTAAAAGAAATGATTTCCAAGGAACTTGTGTCACGCAGATGTCAAGGCTGGACAGTATCAGAGATAGTGTTCGATGCTTTCTTCCTCCTCTTTGAATCTAAAGCTGTGGAAAACATCATTTTAGCCCATTCTTTTTTCGTGAAACTTCATTGAACAGTGTTATTATGCCAGTCGTTATGTTAATAGAGAACCGATTTAGAAGAATAAGATATTATGATTTATTCGTCTTAAGCCACGTTCATAGGTGTGTCTGGTCATATTACACGAGATCACGTTCAACTATCTCGAGTCTTAAACGCATTGTGTGCATGTTTTATCGTGGGTAGAAGGGTTCGTTCCTTTACAATCTAGTCTGCTATGCAATTGCCTGTGATGAAAGTTCCTACATTCAATACCCACTTTTGACGTGGTACCCTAACATTGAAGAGATCTGAGTACATATATTGTAACCACTTGTTCTGCCGCCTTACCACTCCACGGCCTTCACCATTGCTAAGAATTCCGACTGGAAAACACCGCAGTGGTCTGGTAGTCTCATGCGCATGTTCGATGCGGTCATAGGAATATAACTTTCGCAGCCCATTTTTCTATCAAGCATTGAGCCGTCTGTGAGTTGCAATAAGTCTGATTTCATTGCATCCCGCCTGTAGTTTCACATAAAAGTCCGAAAGAAGTATTTTGAGAAGAGTTAACAGAGCTTTTGAGCGAGTATATGGAACTGTTTGTGTTACCAGAATAGCAGCCGACCATTTAACCCTTTCTTATTTGTTCCTGAAAGTAATTTTATCGACTGCCGATCACCAAACGGTGACGCCGTAGAGTAACATTGGTCTATCTACCGATGTATAAATTCAGTACACCATACCCAGCATCAGACTTCATTTTTTCTAAGGCCGTTATGTAGACGTAAAGTGCAGTTGAAACTTTCTTTGACCTTTCGACCGTGTTCCGGCTTTAGTTGAGTTTGTCGAGATATTTTACTTCTGTAGAGAGCCCTTCAGTTAAGGTGGCCTAAAAAGGAGTCGGTTTTTACCTTCTACTAAATAGAACTATTTCAGTTTTATCTGGGTCAACGTCCAGTCCGCTGTCCTTTGATCAGTTTCCAATAATGTGTAGAGCATTTTGGAGAAGGTCACTTAAAGTTTGTAGACATCTTGTTAAAATTTGGAAATTGTTTAGTTAAAAATTAGCTTGACCGTAGTCGAAGCCACGGAGATATATCCCTCACCCCAAACAGGCTGCGTAAATTTTACGGCATACAATGCTGCTGATATCAGAGATGCGTTCAATTTCAATACATGGCACTTTGTCGTAGTCGATGCCGGGATCCCGGAAAATGGGTGCTCATGAGAATATCCAGGATTTCCTCGCAATATGTAATTCATTCACCATCCGGTTTCTGGATATAGGTTGGGATAGCGAAGCTCTTGAAAAGAACTTTCCTAAGTCTGCTGCCTTCTGCACTTCCATTAATTAAAGTTTTGCGTTCCTTATGTAGGTTTTGAAAAATTTTACGCAAGTTTTATAAAAATGCCAAGACTCTGTTCTTTTGACTTCATTACAGAGTTCGGATTCTTTTTCTTAGCTTAGAGACCTCGTATTCCACCATTTGGGTACTTTCTTTCCTGATGGGCTAAATAGAGAACATCAGGCCTCAAAAGCTTCATTACAGACTTTGGTGACAAAGTCTATTGCATAATTAATTTTCGATGACTAGTCTTAGTTCTTGACCAGCCAGCTCTCCTCAAGGTCGTCCAGTCAGTCCTTTTCCTATTTCTGTAGATGGATTCATTTGTCTCTGATTTGGTGAAAAAAAGAGTTTAAAACTAATTTGTTGTCAATGACTTCCATTTTAGAAGAGGTTAAAAAAGTGGATTCCCATAGTTGCACATTGCAAGGTCATTCCCTAATCTAAGTCAACTAGCGACTCACTTCGGATATTTGAATTACTGGATCCCCAGACTGCGCGAGTTAGTATCGCCTTCAACAACTATTGGAAGCTTCTTGTGGTTCACCTCCTTTACAGCTTCTTGTTGCCGGACCGCTGGTAGAATATCGTCATGAAGGTACGAAGTACGACGATGAAGTACGACGAGAGGATTAACAGGCCCCTTCCTCCCAGTTGTATTTTAATGCTGACTGTGTCTTCATCGCTGAGTTTGAGAGAGATCAAAATAAAATATGTTTTTCTTAACAAGAATGCAAGCTTTAGGCTTACCCGTTCCTGGTGCGGATACCGTTTAGTAGGAATCAGATGTCAGTTTGCAGACCCAATTTCCAACTATTCAAGGTTTTTGAACTAAAATTATGTCCTACGCTTTCTCGTAAATGCGCAGAATGAGGGCAGCTGACGGTGCCTTAGAGTGGTGCAGCTTAACTTGAAATTTCTGCATCCTCCTGAGAACTTGATAGGTCCATGAATTTTCTTTCTTTTGGTTGGGGAAGGTTTTGACTGTGGCGTCGATGTCTTTTCCATTGGTCCTCCCTTGGATAGGTTAGAGTTAATGCGGATAATGTGGTGTAGACGGGCAATGTGCTACACCAGCTTTTATCGGAAACTATAAATGTGAAAATAACGGGACCTTGAGAAATAGGTTGGTTTTCTCAGATATTTAAATAAGCGAGATTTAACTTGTGATTTGCAAACGATGCCGACAGTCAGTTGAAATAAAAATGATTAGTGGTGCAGTGGACTCTTTTTGTGCTCAGACAAAACGACTTTTAACAAAATTAAATTTTGAGCTTTAAACAATGATCGAAAGGTAATGAGTATTATAATAATCAGCGCCTTAAGTAATATGTCGGCTATTGTTCTTAAACATTCAGTGTCTTTCATACTACCGCATGTCCGCGTTGCGTTTATTGTAAAAAAATTTTAAACAACTTTTACGTACGAAATATATTTAACGTTAATGATGACTTTTGAAGCGGTCACATCCATTTAATTTAATGTATTACAGCTTTAAACTTACAATACAAACTTTTTGTATTACTTATGGGTGCTAGTATTGTGGTACACTATACCGCATTAGCCAACATGGTATACCGCATTACCCGGCAATTTCTCCGATGGCCTCTTTCTGGCTTTATATGAATTTTGCCAAATTTTTCTAAAACTATCAGCTGTCGACTTATTGCCTACCGCTCCACATGTTTATAGTATTTGTGTGATCAGAAAACTCGATTGTCGTTAATATTGCTTAAAAACTTTCGATTTTACAAAGGAATATAAAATGTGTATTCCACATTGCCCGCACTTACTTTATATCACCGATGCCCGGATCAGTGGAAACCAGTCCTTTGGGACCTCTTAGGCTGGTAGCCCGCTCGTGGCGTTTTTTCCTTCAGGCGGCGGGAGCTAACGGCTTACCGGCAGACCTATTCAAACATAGCGGTGAAGAGCTGATAAGGTGAATGCATCAGCTACTTTGCAGAATATGCTCGGACGAAAGCATGCCAGACGATGGGAAATTAATTGTGCTCTGCCCAATGCCTAAAAATGGTCTGTGCCAATTACCGTGGAATAAGCCTTCTTAGTATCGCCTATAAGGTCCTGTCGAGCGTATTGTGTGAAAGACTGAATCCCACCGTCAACAAACTGATTGGACCTTAACAGTTTGGCTTCAGACCAGATATTCCCCATGCGACAACTCTTGGAAAAGACGCATGAAGAGAAAATCAACACTCACCACCTCTTCGTTGATTTAAAGCCGCCTTCGACAGCACGAATAGGAGCTTCCTTTACGCCGCTATGTCTGAATTCGGTATCCCCGCAAAACTTATACGGCTGTGTAAGCTGACGCTAGACAACACCAGAAGCGCAGTCAGAATTGGGAAGGACATCTCCGAGCCGTTCGATACCAAACAGGGTTTCAGACAGGGTGACTCCTTGTCGTACGCCGATAATATTGACATAATCGGTCTCAACAACCGCGCCGTTAGTTCGGCTTTCTCCAGGGTTGATAAAGAAGCGATGCGAATGGGTCTGGAAGTGAACGAGGAGAAGACGAAATATCTCCTGTCAACAAACAAACAGTCTTCGCATTCGCGACTTGGCTCCCACGTCACTGTTGACAGTCATAATTTTGAAGTCGTAGATAATTTCGTCTACCTAGGAACTAGCATCAACACCAACAATAACGTCAGCCATTAAATCCAACGCAGAATCACAACAACAAGTGCTACTTGGGACTGAGTAGGCAATTGAAAAGTAAAATCCTCCCCCGACGAACGAAAACCAAACTCTACAAGTCACTCATCGTTCCCGTCGTGCTATTTGGTGCGGCAGCATGGACATTGACAAAATCTGATGAGTCGGCTTTGGGAGTTTTTGAGAGTAAGGTTTTGCGTAAGATTTATGGTCCTGTTCGCATTGGCAACGGTGAATACCGCAGACGATGGAAAGATGAGCTGTACAAGTTATACGGCGACATTGATATAATTCAGCGAATCAAGAAGCAGCGGTTACACTGGCTTGGTCATGTCAAAGAGCAAAAAGAAGAAACGAATGGCGCAATTTTGTTAAATCGGCCATAATCGCGTTACCGGTGTCTGCACCAGAAAAGTAAGTAAGTAAGTGCTAAAGCGTTTTTAACATTGTCAGAGTGGGCATTTAAATAACGTGAAACTGTTATGAAGGCTGTGGCCAATTAAATTTCGATTCGAAGCATTTGTATTTTGATATAATTAAAGCAACAGAATAGTTTAAAAAATGCGAATATAAAGAAACCGAGAAAATATAACAGAACTTTTTCCGCTGTGCCGAGTGCACAAGTGCCAGCACTTTGGGATTTCTCCTTAGGAATACCCGCCATGTACGTTTTCCTGTAAGTGAAAAATGCCCACTTTGAGCTCATAATTTGACTATTTTATAAGTATAGTTTATCACAAGCCGTTGTTGAAAGGATAATTAAACATTATTGTAAACCAAGCACTCTGTATCTGACTTTTTTTCCTCCTGTTTCAATGTTTTAGTATACGAGTATATACAAAATATAGAAAATACATAAGCAATGATATTAATTAACAATTTAAGGCCTAATAAACTCTAAATTACAGAATATTTATCAAGAAATAAATTGAAGCTTGCATTAAGTATATTCATGGCATCCTAAACTGGCACTCACTTTCTTACTTTTCTTTCTTTTTTTCTACAGCCAATACCTGCAAAAGAGGATGTACCCAATGTAAGTGCCATCAATACATTCATACTTATGTTTATGTACACATATCTAACAAGTGTGTTGAGCCTCGATTCTACAGACCTAAGTGAACTTACCCTGCAGGGAAAAGCCAAAGTTGGATGTGAGAATTCAATTAAATACTAGTATTTTGAATGAAATCATACCAGTTATTGTTATTTGTGTAGCAGCTCACCAGTAAAGGGAGTGATAATAATTTCTACAGCTGTATGTTATTGTTACATCCAACGCGCCACAGCTGAGTTGTATTCTTAGTAACGCTCTGTTGAAGTAAGCAAAATAAAGTTCATCCATGTTGTGTTTCCGGTTGAAGCCTCGCTGCAGTCGAATTTATTTTTGTTTTAAATTTTTATATTCACCACCACGCCGTTCCTTTGCTGATATTATTTTTAGTATGCACCGGCTGAGTTTCATTTTGTGACAAGCTCTGTTGTAATGCACAAATCGCGTTGCAATCAAAACGAGCCTAGTGAGTGAGCTTTTCACTGTGGGTTCGAAGCTCGCTGCAGGTAAAATTATTTCTATTTTCAATTGGTTTTGCTAAAGTAGAAATTCAGCGTGTCTAAATAAACTAGTATACAAATGGTATAAAGATTTTGAGTTGTCGGACAATCGACCGTTTCTAATACTCGCCGTGTTAAAAAGAACACTTGCATACATAGGAAATAGATAGAGGATGAACTAGTTAGTGCAAAAATGCAAGCAAGTTAGATTGTAGTAAAAAAAACTAGTACTTTTCCCTGCAGGGTATATCATACATTGTTATATTATACAGGCTTTTAAAACTCACACTTAAGTTGATTAAATTTATTGTTTTTGTTTTAGAAACGAATTACATTCCCACTTGAAAAAAATTCTCACTAACACAATTCTCTTTATAAATATATAATGTATGTTATATTTTTAGCTGACAATGGAGTGTTAAAGTTTCAGCCAGGCAACGTTTACGAATATAACTTCGATTCAGTTATAACAGTTGATCTTGACACTGGCGCTTCAAAAGGTACCGATGATACAAGTTTAAGGCTCACTGGCACTGCAAAAATTTATGCCGAAGGCAACTGCGGCTACACGTTGCAACTTAGTGCTGTCAAAGTTTTGGCCGCTAAGGAAGCAGCTGAGAAAAAGTTAGTGCAGAGTGTTCAAAAGCCTGTCCATTTTACTTTAACAAATGATAAAGTGGAACCACAATTTTGCGCCGATTACAATGATTACCAATATGCTTTAAATATCAAACGGGCGATAATTTCTTTGTTGCAGTCTAACTCAGAAGACGGTATTGAAGTGGACATCTTCGGGCAGTGTTCAACGCATACATCAGTATCTAATGTTGGGGAGACGCATATTGTAACCAAAGTTCGTGATTTAAATCAATGTAGATTCCGAGAAAATACACGTAGTAGTCTGATTCACGGAGTTATCAATCAAGCCGCGGGTGTTAAGTCTGCACACCTTTTCAAGGCCAGCTATACCAAGGAATCAAAAATAGTGAACGGTATTGTTGAAAATACTCACTTGATTGAAGACTACAGTTTTGGCATAGCCGAGAAAGGTATAAACAGAATAAGAGGAAAAGTTATTACAAATTTAAAGATAAGAAATCCAGCTGGTACTCCTTCTGCTCCTCCACAGACTGGCACTCATGGCGTCTCCTTGATTTTTCAAAAGCCTGAAGTATATATAACCAAAAATTTGGCAGCACTAAAAACTGCACTAAATCAATTGGTTGATTTATTAAATGACTACGTGAAAAAAGATAGTGCCACAAGTTTCACTGATCTTATACGTTTAATGCGTAATGCAGATACTGATACTTTACTTGAACTGGCCATTGTGCCCCACGAGAATACTATTTTGGCGCGAAAAGTCTATTTGGATGCATTGTTCCGTACTGGTACTGCTGAATCAGCAAAGGCTATATTTAAACAGTTAAACAAAATGGATGAAAAAGAAAAGCTAATAGCTATAATATCACTGAACCTTGTTCAATCTGTGGATAAAGATACTTTAATCCAGGCATCTGCATTATTAACACCAAATGCTTCAAATCAAGTGTATTTGTCAATAGGCACGTTGGTTGCGAAATATTGTCAAGTCAACGATTGTGAACAGGGAGACCTAGATGGAATCTCCAAGAAATTTATTGAAAATCTTAAGCATTGCAAAGCTAATACAATGAAAGACGAAGACCGCATTGTTAACATATTAAAGGGAATTACTAATATGAAGAAATTTAGTAAAAATTCCGTTAATGCTCTAGTTGAGTGTAGCAGTGTCGGTCGTAGTAACCGAATTAGAGTAGCAGCATTGCAAGCATTTACTTCTGCAAACTGCGACTCAGTTTTAATTCAAAAGGCTTTAACATTGCTCCGTGATCGTAATGAAGACTCTGAACTAAGAATTGAAGCATATTTAGCAGCTATTAACTGCCCTAATTCCAATGTAGCCATCGAAATAGCAGCAATTGTGAACTCAGAGAAAGTTAATCAAGTGGGTGGATTTATTGCGTCAAGTCTCAAAGCAATACGCGACTCGACAGATGACTATCGTACTTATCAGCGCTACCATTTGAATAATATTCGTGTTACAAAACAATTTCCCAGGGATCCAAGGCGTTACAGCTGCAATAATGAAATATCCTACAAGCTAGATGCACTCGGCCTTAGTGCAAGTTCCGATTACAAGGTTATATATTCCCAGCATGGATTTTTGCCCCGTTCGACAAAACTTAACATTAGTACAGAGATTTTCGGCACTAATTTTAATGTATTTGAAGTGAATGTGAGACAAGAAAATTTAGAAAATGTTTTGGAATATTATATTGGACCTAAAGGCTTGCTTAATAAAGATTTTGAAGAGATAATAAAAATAATTGAAGATGGTGGTGTTTCTGGTGATAATTATAGAGCGCGCCGTAATATTGCCGATGAAACAGCTAAACTGTCAAAAAAATACAAAGCATATGGCACCAAAAACATCCAGGATGTCAATCTCGATTTATCGTTAAAGTTTTTTGGTTCTGAAATGTTATTTCTCAGTTTAGGTGACCATATACCAAATACATTAGATGAGATTATAAAAAGCTTATCTACCGCTTTCGACACCGTAAAAAAGGAACTGCTATCCTATAATAAGGAATTTATGTTCCATGATCTGTTCCTTGATGTAAACGCGATTTATCCAACTGGTCTTGGTATCCCACTAGAAATAAATACGCAAGGTTTTACAGCGAATAAATTAGATTTCGGTATAAACTTAGATGTTGATGGTATTCTGGAGCAGAATTGGCTTGCAACAAAGTATCAAGCAAAAATTGTGCCAAGCGTGGATATTAATTTAAAATTTCAACTTGGATTTAATGCTTATGTGTTAGCTGCGGGACTTCAAGTCGAATCGAATTTTCATTCAGCGTCTGGTGCTGATGTTAAATTAGATTTTATCAATGAGGGAAATGAATTTAATTTGAACATTAAATTACCACGAAACAAACTGGACCTCATCAACGTAGAAGTTATACCTGGATTTTATGTAACAGACCCTGATAAGCCATTTAAAGTCATTGTACCGAAAGATAACAAAAAACAAAACTCAGATAATTATCAAATGTGCTTCAGCCAATTAGATGTTGTTGGACTGAATTTATGCATAGATGTGTCTGGTGTTAGTCGTGGTAAAGAACTGTCATCAAATGCTGGCTATTTTATCAGTTTAGTACGTCCCGTTAGCTTAAATGTTTACACAGAAGTTGAACGAAAGTATAATTTACGTGGTTCGTACATATCTCAGACCAACAGTGGCAGCCAAGAATGGAAGCTGGAGTTAAATATGCCAGAATCAAAGGAACATCGTAGTGCAAGTGTCACGTTTGAAGTAGGGTCGAATCCTAGTACATATGGACGATTAGCCTTTGATACGCCATTATATCATTTTGCCTTTGAGTCAGGATTTAATAATGACAATCACGAACTAGTCCTATATGCTCAACATGAGGACAATGAAAAAGTTAACCGTAATAGAATTGGGTTCATACGCAACGGCAATGAGTATCTTCCCATTATTGAGGTGCAGGATAAAAGTGGTACGTCTAATGAATTTTATGGGTATCGCATGGATGGCAAGGTCATTTTGCAAAATTCCGGCGATAACCAAGCCAAATACATTTTTGATAGTTTCAAAGTGGCAAATAAAGGAAAAGATAGAGTAATTGTAAATGGTTGGACAGAAGTAGGATCAGCCTGGCTTAATAGCGAATTACGTGTTGGCATCTTAAAGGATACATATTTGGTAAAAAGCAACTTCGGAGTGAATAATGGTATATATGATATTGGATTCTTCATAAATGATGAACAAACGCCAGAAAATATTTATGGAGGGTCTGGCCATGTACAGCTTGCTGAACAAGCTTTTGTGGTACAATTGGTTGGTGCAGCTGCATCGTGGAAACTAGATTTAAACAATGAGGTACAGTACGCTCTTTCCGAGAGTTCTAATTCCCTTGAATCCAGCAGTTTTAAGCACGAATCAACTTTAAAAAATCAGAAAAGCGTTGTTGGACAATTCAAGTTGAAACTTTTGACCTCTGGGAATAATAAAATTGATTTAAATACTGAATTAGTGAGCGGAAAAAGAACGGCTGCTCTTGCTATCAAATATAATGGAAACGGGCACCCATTCGGCGATTACAATATCGAAATACACGGAAAATATAACAAGCATTACGCAGATATTATAGCAAAGAATAATTTCAATGGTAATCGTTTTGTTATCGATAACACACTTGTAACCAGTTGGGGCACATCATTTACTATTAAAGGTGAAATAGGACAACGTTTTACAGCTCAGGATATATATATTGATATGCATGGTACAGCGCAAATTAATAACAAAAATAAGCAGTTTCAGTGGATAATTAAAGTAATTGGCACTCCTGACAAAACAAACAGTGAGGTTAAAATAACGAGCGACAGTGCAGATATTTTGAAATGTACAGGTGATCTGCAACATCCACAAGATAAAATATCCAGCGGTAAAATTCATGTTTCTGCTAAAAATTTAGCTGTATTAAAAGCAGACTTTAAAGTTGCCAAAAATGGTAAAGGTGATGCAAATGTTGCTGTTGAAACCCTGAAGACCGACCAAAGCCAAAAAATTGACATTAACATAAAATTCCAAGTTCAAGCACCAAAATATGAGGTGGAAACGGCTATTGTATTTAGCGGAGATAAAAAAATTTACTTTAAGACCGATAGCCATTTGGAAAAAATGAAATTCATAACTAAGAATGTCGCAGAGATTTCAAATAAGAAATTAACTATCGATGCCAACTTTGCTGTAAAAGGTGATTTCAGCACAAATGGTGAACTTCAAGGTAACTTCATTTTCACTTCTCCAACTGGACACATTGTAGATGGTAATATCAAGCGTAAAATAACCACAAACACTAAAACAGGAAACGTGCAAGGTGATCTCGACGTACAAATAAGTAAAGCACGTAATGGCCAAAAACAAACTTTGGCTTACACGGCAAAAGCTGATAAGCTAAATTTGAAAACAAAAGAGCTTTCCGAAAAGGTTCAACTTATATATACGGATATTAATGATAAGAAGCTAGAATTATATGCAAATGTAAAACATTTACCTAAAGATAAAAGCAAAACAGTCGAAATAAAAGCTGGCGTGCGGGGCGATTATTTGAATATACCTGTCGATGTCAATTTCGTAGTTGACGAATATGACAGCAATCACGCGGTTTTCCGAGTTGATATTAAGTGCGCTGGAGCCTTCATCTTTAATGTCAATGGCAGATATAATTTGGGCGGAAATGATATTCCAGCAGTATTTGAAGTTCAATTAAATTCTCAGCTGCCAAAAAATAACATCAAGTCAATTCAGCTCAATTCAAATGGTAAATTCCTTAATCCAAAAACTAACAATGGTACTTATATCATTGAACTGCATGTAGATAAACAAACAGGAGATAGTCAATATTTACGTTTAAATACTCTCTGGAAAGGCTCCCAGCAGCAAGGTGCTTACACATTTGATGTGGATACTACGGAAATGAATGGACCATTGAAATTAGAAGGTACCTATCAAAATGAACAGCCAGGTGATACTAAGGATGGCTCTGCTGTTGACAAACAGCATTATAGTTTCAACTTCAACTATGATAACAAATTTGTTAAGTCAACTGCGAATTTGAGTTATGTGGGTATTGGTAAAGCCACAGCTCATTATACACTGAACGCTAATTTTGAATCGGTAAAATATATTGATTTTGATATAAGCATGCAGAAACTTGATGTTGATACTTATGAGATTAATTTGCACGCTAAGGGTGATGAAATTGCATATATGTCGAACATGAAAATTTATCATTCTCAGTATAGGAAAGGTCTAGACATGCACATATCAACTCCAGAAGGAAGTCCAATAGTTATTGTTGGTGTTTTTGAAATATCAGGCGAGCAAAAATCTAAAATTTCAGTGAATATTCAAAATGTGATAGATTTAGATTTTACCTGCAACTGGGAGTCATCATATAATGCTATTGACGATTTCTCTATTAAAGCTGATTGGAACTCAGTAAGATTAAATCTTCCAAATTATTTGGTTGACATACGTTCACAGGGCAAATCAATAACTTTCAATTTTAAAAATTCAAAACATGAAATTATGTCTGGCAGCGCAACATACTCTCTTAAAAAGGAGAAGAGCAAGAGCATACTTGAAGGTCACGGCCAAGTAAAATACTATGGTAAGCCGCAGAAGATAAGCTTCCGTCTAATACACCAAATTTATGACATTGCAACACACAAAGAAACTGGCTTTTCTTACTCACTGGATGGTAATTATGGTCCGAAAAAAGGCGTATCAACATTTAAAATTACCACTGGTGGTTTTGATGTAAAATTTTCAATATGCGAAGAAAAGAAACAATGCACAAATGTACAAGTGCAATCTCTTGTTACACCAAATAGTAAAGAGCTCGATTCGTCTCAGAATTCATTACTCATTGTCATAGATTTACGAGAGCTTGGTTATCCTTATGAACTTGAATTTCAATCGAAAACCGTACAACAAGGAATTAAGTTGCACTACAGTATTGAATCACAATTTGTATCAAACAACAATTTAAAGTACAAATTAAGTGCAAACATACAACCAATGAACTTAGTTATACAAATAAAATTACCAAATAGAGAACTCTTATTTGAGGGTATGCAACAATTACCAGAAAATGGCAGATTATTTGGCCGCTACGAGAACATCCTCGCATTCTACTTTGACAAAACAAATAAACCCAACGATGTCACAAGGATATCGGCCGTTGCTGATGTTACCGGAAATGAACTTCCAAACATAAATGTAAATAGTGAAATAAAATTTGAGAATGCTGCCATCCGGCCATTATCGATTTCTGGTAAATTTGATGCTAACCGTGAGAAGAATATTGTAAATTGTGAAGTTATCTTTGACATATTTCGTTTACCGGAACAGAAGATTATCGGAACTTTGCGAACACAAAACAGTGGTCAAGGGAACGGGTTTAATATTACAACATTTGAGTCACTGCAATCTTCGGGTCTGGGTTTTAATTACGAATTCAGCGGTCATACTGCGCTTAACATAGATTTGCAAATATTGAGTGCAGGTACCATTTTACGTAGTGGAGCTACAGATTTAAAAGTATCAGCAAATATATATGCTACAAAAGACCACACTGACTTATCGGTTTATATTTTAAATGAACCCATTGTACAAGTGGCAGCCGACTTCAATCGTCAAAAATTCTCAGTCAATTTTAATAGTAAAGTAAAACTTTTTAGCCAAGCAGCTGTGGAGCTCAAAACCGAGCTGCAACCTACACAGTCAAAACTTGTATTGAAACGTAAAGGTCTCTTGGATTTGAACGCAGATGTCAAACTGGGCAAGGAGATTGAGCTTAATATTAAAGGTGTTGAAGAGCAATTGTTTAAAGGGCGCGTGGCACTAGATGCCGCTAATTTCCTACAAGCAACTTATTCCACCAACAGCGATGCTATCAAAGCATTTTTGGTAACTATTACTCGCTTACAAATAATTTATTTCTTATCGCGGAACTGTATATTTTAGTGTAGTCCAGTCTTAAAACTTGAGATGAGATTCCTCCTGAAAATGAGACAAACGAACAGAAACGATCAGCTGGTAGCAACCTTCTGAGAGGGTTTCATTTAAAATTACTTTTGGTAAACTCTCATAATAGTTGTTTGAAATGAAAAAATGCTGCTAACGTAACGTGTTATATTTACGTTTTGCTTAAATCCATTATTTTAAACGATAAAAATTATATTCGACTAACATGACATGTCAAATTTATTGTATCATCGTCTTAGAAAGCTAGCTTATTCCAATGGCATAAAAAAGATGGTTTTGAACTAAAAAAAGGTAATGGAAGAAGTGTTGATCAATGAACTCAGTTGTGTTTGAGCGCATGTCAAGGGTGGACATCAGTAAAGAGAAATACACTATATGCTGTAAATGTTTCTTCAATAAAGGGGAAAACGTAAGTCATACAGCTTAAAATATGAATAGGGTCCAAAAACTATAACAGTCCATCAGGTAAAATTTTGTATTCGTCAATTTCATTCGGGTAATTTTAATGTAAAAGGTGCTAAAGGCCAATTGCCGGAACTGTCCACAAAATAATGGAAATCGTCTGACCGTCATGCGAATACTGTTTCTGTTGCCCAGGAACTAAGCATTGCAAAATAAACCATTTGGAATAACTTAAAAAATCGTAACAAAATCAATCCATTTCCCCAACGAATGTGACTGGTAATGAACAGTGGATCACTTACAACAACGTCAAAGAAAACGGGAGTTGCTCGCCTATGGTCAAGTAACAGAGAAGCCGATTGTCTGAACTTATTGCCAATAGGCAACGGTATTTTATAGCAAAGATATATATTGACAAAATTACTGAAAGTTATCGAGTTATTTCACATAAAAGTTTTTCAATTTCAACACATAAACAATGTTGTAATTTTTGTAAAGACAATTGTTTTAAGTTTAATGACGGTTTTTCTGATTTTTTTCTAAATTTGTTTAATTTGGTTTTTATGACCGGCTAAACATCTGATTTAAATTGGATTATTGACTAGAGACTGGTTCAGCAATTGTCAGGTATTTTTACATTATACAGATACCTTCTGTTTTCAAACAAAGGACAAATCACACCATTCAAAAATGTCTAACGCTTGAAACTTGTAACATTCTGCATTAAAAATCTTTCGTCATGATCAAAACATTTGACTCAGTAAAAATAAGAACGAAAAGTGGTATATTGATATTACGTATTATGATTTTATATGCTTTCCATTAAACAGGTGAATTAATTATATTTAAGTGATTATATTTACACTGGGGATGGGGCTATTTGTAGAAATTCACGCAAGTGAGGGAAGTTTGTGACTGCCATTCACCTTGGAGTGAACACTTCTCCAGCCTGCTGAACGGCAGTGAAAGTGAAACAACCCTAGATGGAGAGCCCAAAAACGCAATCGATGACGATGGAACAGAAGCTCCGCTATCTGACCATGTCGAAGTTCGAATAGCGATTTCCCGCTTAAAAAACAATAAAGCAGCCGGGGCTGACGGCCTACAGACAGAACTATTCTAACATGGCGGTGAAGAGCTGGCAAGGTACATGCATCAGCTTGTTTTCTAAATATGGTCTGATGAAAGCATGCCCGATTATTGGAACCTAAGTTTACTCTACCCAATCCATAAAAAGAGCGATCTCACAGTCTGCACCAACTACCATGGGATAAGCCACCTTAACATCGCGCATAAGGTCCCATCGAGGGTTTTGTGTGAAAGACTAAAGCCCACCGTCAACAAACTGATTGGACCTTATCAATGTGGCTTTAAACCTGGTAAGTCAACCACTGACCAGATATTTACCATGCGACAAATCTTGGAAGAGACCCATGAAAAGAGGATCGCCATACACCACCTCTTCCTCGATTTTATAGTAGCATTATACAGCACGAAAAGCAGCTGCCTATACGCCGCTATGTCTGAATTTGGTATCCCCGCGAAACTTATACGGCTGTGTAAACTGAAGCTAGACAACACCAGAGGCGCAGAGTCTCCGAGCCGTTCGGTACCAAACAAGGCCTCAGACAGGGTGCGATTTCTTCAATCTGATGCTGGAGAGAATAATTAGAGCTGCAGAGTTTAATAAATAAGGTGCAATCTTCTATAAGAGTGTACAACTACTGGCGTACGCCGATGATATTGACATTATTGGCCTTAACAAACCCCGCCGTTAGTTCTGCTTTCTCTGCGCTTGATAAAGAAGCGAAGCGAATGGGTCTTGTAGTGAACGAGGGCAAGACGAAATATCTCCTGTCATCAAATAAACATTCATCATATTTGTTACTTATCTCCCTTCACAGGTCACTGTTGTCAGTCATAACTTTGAATAAAATTAAATTTTTTTTAAATTAACTATTATAAGTAACTATCATAAAATATGTAAGAGTAAGTTCTTTGTTAATATCAATTATAATAAGAAGCTCTAATTCGAGGCAGTGAACAACTATTTTTCTAAAAATGTTTAAAAAATGTATTGCATTATTCAAGCATGTTTTTTTATTCATCTCCAGCTAGAGGTTGTTATCAGCTCTCTGTCCATATTTGAACTCATTTTCGATACTGAGCTGGATAACTTATTCGTTGATATTGGTAAACTAGCTAAAATGACTCAATTTATTTACAGAATGTGGTGGAAAGCGAAATAAAAAAAGACTCTAATGCAACAGTTGAGACAATTAAAAGAAAATTTAGATATATGCGAGAAACAATCGATAGACAGGCGAAATTCTTTGAGGCTAGTACCCCCGATTTGGCAAAATTGAAGTCTAATTACGAAGAAAATGTGAATGATATCGTTCGAGCTTTGGAGAATGATCCCATATTGAAGCAGATCAGTGAAAACTAGTAAGCAATTATTTTTGGAATTTTAAAAATCGAATTTATTTCATTTACATTTTTTATGGGTTTTAGTCAAATCATTTACACTAAGCTTGTGCAAGTTTCTGGAGATATATCGAAGATTGTTGCTGAGTACTATGGAAGTTTGAATAAGTCTATAGCAGAATTTTACAAAAAATTGGAAACCTCGTTAAGGGAAAATGTATTGCCAGCTTGGGAAGATCTGTTGGTCACAGCTTCAAAAATGCTTGGAGATTTGCGCGTGCAAATTGTTAATGTAGTAACTGAATTGATTCAACAAATTTGGGAGAGCTTAAAACAATATGGTCCTGCACTGGAAAATTATACTAAAACTATTAAAGAATTATCAAGGCCATTAAATGAGGCAGTCCAAGAACTTGTCAAAGCAACCACTGAAACAATTGAAAACCTTATTGAAGAATTCAGAGAATATATTACAAAGCTTCCTACAATCGATGAATTACAAAATCAATTCAATGAAAAATTGGAAAAGCTTCAACTTTTGGAGAACACCTTGAATTTTATAAATAACTTGTTTGACCAACTACATATTTTGCCTTTGACTCCGGAATCGTTAGAATTCATAGAAAAGTTACGGGAATATAGCGAGGCTAAAATAACAAATAAACATATACACGACGAGCAGCTATTAAAAGAGCTAACTAAACTACTAGTACGAGCATTACGTTCAATTTGGTCAAACTTGGATATTAGTTCATCTCTAGCACCAACTGACATTGCGAAAAACATGTTGTCCGCTATACTGGACTTAACATCAGAGTCGCTTGATCTTCTTGGTAAAATGCCAATGGTCTTGTCATTCCGTTTTAGTGTCTTGAATTTTATACTGAACGAAAATTTGGAATATATATTCAGCATTAGAAATTGGATATTCCTCCAAGACTTTAACCTGCACGGGCATATAGTAGATGGGCACAACATTTTCACATTCGATGGTCAACATTATTCCTTCCCTAGTAGCTGCAAGTATATATTGGCACAAGATACCGTTGATAACAATTTTACTGTGGTCGCACAAGTTAATAATGGCAAACTTAAAACGATAATATTAACCGACCGGGAAAATAAGTTTGTCGAAATTTCAGATTCAGGTACTCTAAAAATTAACGGCAAGGAAGCCGAGTACCCTCAACATTTAAACGGTATTCATTCTTGGCGTTTATACTACACTGTCTGGCTGCAATCTGAATATGGTGTGGAAATTATGTGTACTCAAGACTTAAAGATTTGTAATGTAAAAGTTAATGGTTTCTACACTGGTAAAATTAGAGGCCTTCTTGGAAATGGGAATGCTGAACCATATGACGACTTTATTCAAATAGATGGTACAATTACTCCAGATTATGTTACTTTTGGTAACGGATACGGAATAGGTAAATGCGCTCCAGTTGCTGCACGGCCAGTTGAATTAGTGTCACATTCAGATATTTGTTCTGATTTATTTGGTCTACAATCGCCGTTGATGCCTGGATATATATTGGAAAACCCTTCACCTTACCGTTCTAGATGTGACGCAGTTGTCCATGACGCTGCTGAAAAAGAAAAAGAAGCTGCTGCCTGTTTAATAGCAGCTGCTTATGGATCGGCTCTGAAAATGAAAGGCATTCCAATTACATTGCCATCTCGCTGCTTAAAGTGTGCTGGTCCTAATGGGCAACGCGAGTTAGGTCAAGAGTTCACTGTTAAAATACCAAATAATAAAGCGGACATTGTCTTCGTTGTGGATATGGATGTCAGCCACGCTTTGCTTAGTAACTTGATTGCGCCTGCAATTTTAGAGATGCGCGACTCACTTAAAATACGTGGATTTACTGATGTGCAAATCGGAGCAATTGCTTACAACAATTCTCAACTTTATCCAGCTCTATTAACTAGTAACGGCGGGAAAATTAATTATCAAGACAATTTAGCTTATGTCAAACTAAATGGGTCTAAAAACATTTGTGTACACTGCATTTCACAAGAGCTTCCGGATACCAAGGTCGTTGAAATCTTTAAAGTCATTGAGATAATTTTAAGAAATATCGTACCGCAATCTGATGAAAAGGCATTTAAATTGGCTCTTGACTACCCATTCAGAGCAGGTGCTGCAAAGAGTATAGTAGGAGTTCGCAGTAATAATTTGGAATTTGATAATTTGGTAAGAACTCAACGCAATCAATCATACCATAGTAAAACAATCCAATCTAAATTTTTAGTTCAAACTAGTAAGAGCTCACTTAACCGATGTTGAAACTAAGTTCAATGGGGCCCAATTGCATTTAATTGGTCCCGTTAAGGAATTATCTGCAGAAGGTATTCCAAAAGAAAAACTTATCGGTAAGAAAATTATTTATATTTTCAATTTCTTGTAAAAAAATATAAACTTTTCCTGTAGGATTTAACTCCCGTTTGATTGCCACACTAGATGGAAAGGATATAAAAAAGCGTCAAAAACTGCAATTCGAAAATGATATAAGCATTGACTTTGTTCTCAAAAATGGTGGATGGGTCTTTGCAACCAACAATTTTGATCAAATGAAGCCCAATGAGCAGAAAAAGAATGTAAATCAAATAGTCAACACATTAGCTGATACTCTTTTCAGAACGGAAATTGTTAGCGAATGTGAATGTGAGGTCGTGCATGGTCTACATGCTCAACACAGATGCACAATTAAATCATCCAACTTCCTGATAAATAAAAAGGTTAAAACCAAATAGTTGAAGGTAAACTTTCTAATTAAACTCAGTAAATAATACAAATATAAAATTTATTGCGTCTGTCAAAAGCAAAAATAAAAACTATAGCTAAGAAATGTAGTTTTACTCTACTTTTACTAATCAGCAAAGGAGCAATGTAAAGAAACAAGCTCAGGTCCAAACATTGGATCATTCGGTTTGACCCCGCAGCTGAAATCACCTTCGTTTTTCATTCAGTTGTCATTCATTTTCAAGCGCAGTGTTGCATAAACAAGTATTAAACTGCGCGAAAAAAGTAACTAATGCTAACCAACGTCAAACGCTACTCAAAATGGAAATAATAATGCCTTCTTCGTTGTTAAGTATATTGCAAATATACAAAGCATTTCTTTCTAAATTATTTAATTTTTATTTGGTTAGTTTATTCGATTTTTATACATCTCATAAGTAAATCTGATATAGTAAAAACCTGCATAATCATTGGGTTATTGCATTTCCTTTTGTTAACATTTAAATATGCAAATTTCTTGTTAGGTAAACGATGGAAAATATAATTTTTGTGATTAGAAATGTTTATTTTTCGAATTATTTTTTGATTTATGGATTATGGAACTGTTCTTCAGCGTATGGAAATATGGTTATTCACTTTTGTGAACGCATACAATGTACAACGTAGTTTTAAGTTCCACGCCATACTCGCAAATGCAATTTACGTTTTGCTTGTCACCGTTTCCACATTGGTAAATTGCACTAACATTGCACCGATGTCCAAATTATTTGGAACTAAATTTAAATAAGTAGTGGCAACATCTTAGCCATGGTGAGGACAAGGTCCTGTGTTTCAGACTTGTCAGCAGCAAAAATGCTTGTCGCTTCAGTCATTTTATGAGAAAACCATGTTGTTTAGGGTTTATAGAAGGTTCCGAATTAGCCCTGCGGGGTTAAAATAAAAGACGATTGAATTTCTGGAAACGTTACAACTTTGGGTTTTGTATTCGATAATTCAATAAGTTATTTTGCAAGCGTATGCTTTACATATGTATTTAAATTATTTAAAATTCAATTTTGGTTTAGGTACAAGACTACACAACCAGAGGTTTTTTGTTACAAATGTATTAAGAATGGAAAAGAAGGATAAATTTAATTTCAAAACACGAGGAGCGATGCGGGATTTACAGTGTCTATGTGTTGCGGGTTAAAAAACAATTGATTCTTTGTGGCGCTGGTGGCTACTTTAGCAGGTTATTTGGTATAAAAAGTGTTGCTGGTGCGGAAGGTAAGCAACATTGGGAAACATATCGCGGCGTTACCACCTGTGGTCGATTACCCCGAAAAGGTGAGAAGATTCATGTACTCAACATGGCGCGCCCCCCGGAGTTGATGCTTGTATCTCCATCTACAGGCTGCCAGTCAAACTCCAGACGTCCTTCACCAATTGCCGCAACTTCTTTCGCTGCTGGGCAGACCGGCTGGATCAAGCGTGCATGGGATTGGCTGCATTCGCTGCATCTCTTACCCTCCTTTACTTCGCACGACGGAGCAGAGTATGATGCCCGATAGCGCACCGATGGCAACTAGACATTGAGTCGCATTCGCCGGTCGCATGGGAGGTTGCCAGGCAGTTAATGCAGTACCGGTGCACCCTTGCGCACTGTCCTCCGATGCCATGGTGAGGAAAGCAGGACAATGGCACAGGGAACGCAACCGGCCGCTTAAACGGTACTACCTCGATAGCGCTTCTCATCATAATCTAGGAGAGGTTACAAAAGAGATTTTATGAGATGCTTTTATTTGAGTCGATGTTTATAGAGGAAAATGTTGGGATTGAGTAATTGGCGGGCAGCACACACAATCTTGCTATATTTCGGGTTATCGTTCCGTTCTCCGTGATTACGTCGACCACACGATCTTTTCGTTTGCACCTTGGTGTAATTTGTTTATACGTCCTAATCGCCATTTATTCGAGCGGAGAAGGTCATCCTTGACGACATTTAGATCTCTTTTTCTACGTCGCATTCCGCCTTTTTCCATTTGTATCTCTTGTGTAATTCTTCGAGATAATTGTTCTTCCATCGGGTACTAAATTGATGATAAATTGATGGTTAAGCACTTTGAGTTTCTGCCATTTGGGGATCAGAGAAAGATCTTCGGCATTGGGTTCGGGTATCGATAATAATGGAGCACAGGGGATGAAATGTTAGGGGGCTAGTGCTAGCGTGTCTTGCGGGTCTTGTGTTATGGTCGAGAGCGGTCTAGAATAGAGAATAGCTTTCATTCTTACCATCAGGGTTGTGAGTTCCTCGAAATGGTTACGAACCCACTCGTACTACTACGTGCTGCCGGGGGTGACCTTAACCTGCACGCATGACTGGTGCGTGATGCTAAAGGGATGGGTGAGGACGTAACGAGGGAGGTGGCACTGTCTGCACGACAAAACGTTCGCAAGCAACAGCAGACAAAACAGAAAGTTACTTATCGTTTTCTCGGTCGGGCGTGCGTCCCGACTTCGGTGCTCCTCCGGTGGTGCCGCCAAACTCTGATTCCGCTACTACCCAAAAATAAAACACTCGAAATATTTTCCCGAGCCTCGACTGGCCTCTAATCAGTTTTGAGGCTTTGATTTTCGCGATGGTTTCATTATAATGCATTCGTTGAGTTAGGATTATGAGTCGCATTCTTGCTTCGCTTATCTCTTCGTGGGTTAGAGCCAGGTTCATCCATGATGACAATTTTCGTGAGCTGTGAATAAAACCATCAATGTATGCAATTACTCTAAGGGCTCGGGGAAAGGAGGAAAATCTCTCTTAGATATACGCAGATTGCAAGGTATGGATTGCGATGTGCCTTTGCTCCGGAGGTGAGGAGTCTTAGGGGCGAGAGCTAGTTCATTCAATTGCGGGTTTGGCGAGCCATTCAGGACCTTTCCACCAGATAGGGTTTTCGATGAGATCCTCAGGTCGGCATCCTCGTGTGCCTATGTCAGCTGGGTTGTCTCTACTACATACATGACGCCCCTTAGCATTACTTATCAGTTGCAGGACTTGAGATATCCTGTAAGCTACATATGTCTTATAAGAATTTGTTTGTTTGTTTGTTTGTTTTTAAAGCAAGTATATGTGAGGTGGAAGAGTTTTCGCCGTGTTATATCCTTATGTACACACAAGCGCAGAATGCCTTCTCCGAGAAATCTGAGAATCCATGGAGTTGAATTGGCTTGTCGGGGGAATACTGAACCCACCGAGGTATTTGGATGCCTTTGATTGCCGGTCGATTCTCATGGAACAAGTTCCATTAATGTCGTCCCGATCCGTTCTTTTTAGCCAAAGTGTTTGGAGTAGTACCTTGGCAATTACCATAATTGGTAATAGTTTCGCCACAGCCAATAAAATGTGGCATTTAGTACTACGCTTTGCAGCGGAATGAGGTTCGTATGAGTATAAAAAGGTCCGTGTGCGCGTTCCAACGTATTCCTAGAGTTTTTGTTGAGCATGTGTCGCTGAATTTAAGAAAGTTGGCATCTAGCAAATGAGACTCTGGAATTTTTTCGAATATTTTCGGGTGGTTTGCCGTAAATTCCTTAAGAAGAAATCCTGCTGAATTTAACGCTTCCATAACTTAGGTGAGTGAGTTGCTAGTGGAATGTATTTCATTACAGCCTGAGAGTGTATCATAATTTTATTCATTTAGGATATTCGGTTTTGCAATTCACGCCTAATTGATGTAGAGTTCGAATATCTAAATATGGGGCAGAGTTAATGATAAACGTAACTATCTTTAGCTTGAAATCTTCTATTGGAGAGCTTGGGGCTCTGCAAAAGAGTATTCGGTGGAAGTCTTGATATTCTTAGTTAACGAGTATTTGCCGGTGCATTCTCCCAATGTCGCCGCTAAAAACGTACTTATAGGGCCGCCAATTGAGGATTATTAGCATTAAGTCGTTTCGAAGAGTTGGGTCTGTATGCAGTATATTGTTTAATGAGTTCCCTGATTGTGATAATCTGGAAGCGCTTAAGACGACTACGACCTTTGTGGATTTACTGTCGGGTTTTATGACAGCGTGATGGAGTAGATAGAAGGAGAAGTACCTCCCTTTGTTAATTATTTCGAGAGGTGAAGTGGTTTCATGTGGTCCAAAGTCAAATCTTAGCGAAATTCATTCGCTTCTGAGTGTAGCCGGAACTTCTTCTTGCTCTCAGAATTTCCTTAGTTGAGTGCTAAACGGGTCATTTGGGACTGGATTTAATTGCGTTGAAAAGAATTCTATCTTTTGAGTTGTTGGTCTGCTGGTTATCCATCCAAATATTGTCTGCTGTGTCAACAGCATACCATTGTGGAGGTGTAGCGCTCCTGGTTTGAATATTTGGGGTGCTAAGTCGCTAAGTCGTGGGCGGGTGTTAATTGGGGGTGATTTATAAAGACTGCCGTAAACATGTCTCGGAATGTCGGCCGGTCTTCGTATCCTCCGTAATATGCTTTTGTATTGCATGCTGATACCTTGAGACATACCCCATTGGAAACTGATTTTATGTTTGCATTTATTGCATGCTTGGTTGTTTGGGTGAGTGTTAGTGTTGTAAAAAAGCTGCAATGCCTCCAGCATCGAGCTTTAAATACATTTAGCGCATTTCTGCTTCACTGACTCGCTGACTTCCGGGTATGCGTCCGCCATGAACATTGCTTCATATGCTTCTAGAAGGATGCCCAATTTGTTTCTAGCCGCTGTATTTTAACGCTGAATAGGGTTCCCGTTTGGTCACTCGCCAAGTCCGTTGATCATTTTGCGAATTGCGATTGTTTCGAAGCTGAACTTTTGTAGCTAATTATTCATCTTGCTTGATGCTGCTTTCTCTGCTTTCTCTTCTACATATTAGGGGTTTATATTACTGGGTTTAATTAAGAAAAAATTAAATTGATATTGGGTGGGTCTTGCGAAATGAATTGAGTTTTTGGTTAGTGTATTTTAACTAGACCAGAGAAAATAAATATTTGTTTTTTTATATCTTGCCTCAGCGCGTCTGAGTGCGAATATGAGGGCGTGTAAGCGGAAATTTACAATTTTGAAAATATTATAAACAAATTTTTTTTTTCAATTCCAAACGTGGATATTTATTACCAAATAT